CCTATAAAGTCAAATTAAAACGAACCAGTAGCCCAATTCATTAGCCGCTGTATCACCTATTTTGGGCAGAACTTTGTACTACCGGTGCATCATACACAAATTGTGGGCCAGTTTGTGTATATCTTCTTACCATTTGTTGTTCAGAAATGGACTCCCAGTGTAAACAGATTAGCTGGAGGTGAGTGCCTTCTACAGTGGCGAAATAACATGTCTGGCCCTGATGCACCTACTGGTATTTTTGGGGGGGATTTTAAAATACTAGTTTGTTTTGAATCTCTCCACTTTTCCCTTTTAAAAGCATCCAATGCAATTTATGGGCGGAAAAACTGGAAATTTTTGCATCAGTGTTTCATATTTTGGATGTTTAAAACAGCGAAGAATTAAGCCCCAAGATGAGTCCTTTATTTTCTAGGTGGTTCCCAAAAAATCAGCCCAGGATCCTACCGTAATACTAGTAATTTTCCGTCACAATTTCTGCATTTTTGCTTCATGAATCTCCACATATACATTGGGACAGTGCTGTTTTAACTACGTAGATACACAACTACTGGCCATAATAAAAATATCTGTTTTTCAAACCCTAAAAACTGCAGCATTTTTGGGGCACCTGAGTGGCTGGGTGAAAATATTGACAGTTCACTTTTTTACAACCATGTTATAGGCCCAGTGGGAACTCCGTGATAATGTCTGGATATAGTCCAGGATCAGGCCAGGATTTCGGTATTTGATATTCCTGTGGGCCAGGCTTCTACTGAGTGACGGCTTTTGCTGGTACGACTTTGGCAATTATCCCCAAAGGATTCAATGGCACTAAAATCAATCTACGACAGAAGGGGAAAACTAATTTTGTCCCTGATCCAAAATGAGCTACGACCGAAATTGAATTAGGAACGATTTGCCCTGATATCGAAATTAAAGGCAACAAATTATTTCGCAATCCCGTAACGTATGGGACCTAGGATCACAGAGATAGTGCTAAGGCTCATAATAGCTCCCTTGACATTATGAAAAGCACAAACATGGGCATTAAAGCTGACAGAAATCATTTTTATAAATCGGTGTGTGTGTGACCCTGGCTAGAAGAAACGCAGGACAGTTTTCCATTTTGCACCCCTCCCCACAACAAGCGGTGACCTCTGAGTTTACGGTTACTTCTGACAGGTTTTAACGCTATCATTTGACCCCATATCGAACTGAACAACTCTGTGTACCTTTGACTACACACTTCTGCACAATTTGGGGTAAAAAATCGCTCGAGAAATCGCGAATCTTAGCGTTAAAATGTGCCTGTATCGCACTGCGATTTTTACTATCGAACCCTGATTGACAGCACACCTCCCAGCAGTGTTGATATCGTATTTATATCAGAGCCTTCCCTTCGGCAACCCCCTGCTGCGAAGTTTTGACGATTATGATTTCCATAACCTTGCTGTTTGTCGCATGTAAGTCTAGATAAAAAGCCCAGTTCGTGGCTGTATGAAGTATAATTTGTGGTGTTTTCGGTACGAGCCGGCTGTCGGCCGTGTCAGCTTTCACCGCAGCACTCATTTCCCATTCATACAGCGTCCTTTTATCCTTTGTCTCCGCCGTGTACACAAGTACTCCAGATGAAACCAAGTGCAAATAGAGCCCCGTGTATCGGTTATCGTCGCAGAAAACCAAACAGGAAGTACACGGGGACGGCACACAACACACCAAGACCGCCGCGAGCGGACGATTTTTTTTAGATTTTGCCCGGGCGTTTCTGACATAGCGAAGGGCTGTGATTTTGGAAGGCGCCCCCCGACCGCCATATGCATTCGGCTCGCTCAACCCTCGGCGCAGCTGCCACCCCTTTCCGGGCCTTTCTCCTGCCTAAATCCCACCTTACCTCGCCACACAACCCTTCACACACTCACCTGTGGTTCCGACAGGTTCCCTGGTCTCTCGGTGGACAGGTGATTCTCGTCTGGTCGTCTGGAAACGCAAACACCGGTTGCTGTGCGAGTACGTGTGTGTGTGCTGACTCGGTCGGACCGACAGAAAAAAAAGCAGTGGCACCGCAGGCATCTGCTTATGCTAATACGCTGAATGTTGATGAGCGCTCTGGTTGTTTGGCGTGTTTACGCAAATCGGGGCGATAATTCCCACTTACTCCGCCTTCTGTTTACCCACGGTTTTAAACATGTTCACTCATTGAGAGAAACACTCACCGTTGGACCTGCTGACTGAATCGGAAAAACGACAGCAGACTTTTGATAACGCTACTTGTCAAATCTTACGGTGAATTCTTGTGCTTCAGATAATCCCTCGAAGCTTCGACCACAACCGCAGTATTCAACAAGTCTTTCAGTTGTTTAGTCGGAAAGACCTTTAAGCTTGTTCACACATCCTCGCTAACTCGTTTACAAGTTGTTTCAATGCGCATATCGGTACTGTTGTGTAGGTAGATTCATAAATGTTTAATGCGGGACTGTCTCGGTGAATCAGCTCGGCGCTTTTGTGACACCAGCGCCCCGCAGTGCGGTCAGTCGGGACGAGATCGGGTGAAACTGGAGCGCGTTGAAGCTGGCCCGCCGCGGAAATGCCTTTTAGCTTTATGTTACGCGGACGTGCAGAATGGGCCCTGGAAAAAACCCCAACTGCTTTCTAGTAGTCTCCACCAGACTTCTTTTGCGGGCTGAATAAATCGTAGAAATCGGCATAAAAAGGGTATTAATTGGCCAGAGAAGCTCCACTTGCCCGCCGATGGAGCTTCTCTGGCCGGCTACCTTCTCTGGCCTTTTAGGCCGATTTCTACGATTTATTCAGCCCGCAAAGAAGTCTGGTGGAGACTAGCTTTCCAGTACTACAAAAGGTTTCTGTAATAGCCGGTATAACCGCCTTTCGGCGTAACACACCAGCTTCGCAGGCACACCGAACGACCGCAGTGTTACACTCAATTGCAAGAGTTGCTTTCTAGTGATGATGCCCCAACTGTGCTTGGTGGCAACGAGTTCCACTCTACGAATAGTACGATAAAATTTTGGGAAAATACGTCAGTACTATATAACGTTATACTATCATACCCAGCTGCTTTCCACAGAAGCTATCATAAAGGCTGTCCGACGTTACCACTTGTATTTTCCTCCATACCAAAGTTGAAGAAATCCCTTTTTATAGCTTTATGTTACGCGTACGACGGTGCAAAATGGGCTCTGGAAAAAAATATATCAAACCCTACTGCTTCCTACAAAAGGTATAATCATAATCATGGTTGTCCGATGTGTCCACTTGTACTTTTCACACGCCAAAGTTGAAACCGAAAATTAATTTTTGGTTTCTTTTATCCATAATTCAATAATTCACGTTTGTAAAATGTCCTTGCGCTAAAAATCCAACCCGTTGCGAAAACCTGATGCCAAAATCATGACTGAGGATTCAGAAAAAAATGGTGATTGTTTTATGTCACCAAGGACTTTGAGTCTTGATGTTTTCACTATCACACCCGCGACCTAAAATAAAGATTAATTTCTCTGAATGGGGAGTAACAGGCCAGAGCAAGTGACGCTCAAAATTTCTGACCAGGGTCAGTGACCGTGTACATTTTGCACAGCTGCAGTACCGGTGGAGCCGCATGGTGGCCAGTACCACCTACTGTGGACAGGTGGTAGCTGGCAAATAATAGCCTGTACCAGGCTTCGGGAGGCGGCTGAAAAAAGTAGAAATTGGGCAAATAGAGACATAACATGCCAGGGGAGTTGGTCCGCTAGAGATTGCAGCAAAATGTACTTTCTAGCGGACCAACTCCCGGCATGTTATCTCTATATTTGCCCAATTTCTACTCTTTCCGACCGCCTCCCGAAGCCTGGTAGAGGCTATATTGGCCATAGTACAAGGGGAAGAGTACTAGTTAACAATTTTATGATGGGAAATTCCTTGCCAAAAAAATACATTTTATCACATAACGGTTTTCATCACTCTCACATCATTCTGTTGTTGCTCACATCATTCTATTGTTCAATTCACAATATAAGTGCTGTATGCACAATACTTCTCAAATCTAGATTTATTTTGAAAAATTTTATGTCTTAGACACCTGTGTATTTCACAAAAACATTGACGGAACTGCCAATAACTCATTTTCTAAATCATCCTCCAATAACTTTTATCTGTTTTGATGTGATTTGTTCTGGATGAAATAAGGAGATAACTTCAACAGACATCCATCACTCTTCTTTATAAATACTTTAAAAAGTAATAAAAAAGACTCTGAATTGTTGGTGAACAGATAAATTTATTGATAACATATCTCAATAACTCCATCCAGTTGTTCAGATTAGTGCAGTCAAATTGTAGTAAAATAAATCTGTTTAGAAAAATCTAAACCCATTGTCTTGAATAGAAAAGAGTTTGATTGTGCGAGTTTCTGCCGGAGCATGAAACAAACATACTAGCACTATATATATATAAACAAACATATACTACATTGTGTATACATATCAAAATGGTACAATTTTGTTGCAAGGCCATACTCCGAGAATCAGAACATTGAAGGCAATTGGTGAACAACGCATATTTCAAAAACTCATCATTTACATACATGTACATATCATACATACACCTGTATTTCATTTCTCACAATACAGTGAGTGACTTGTATCACTTATCTAGAATTTTTTTTACACCAGTTTCAGTCAATTCCCTGCGGTTCTATGAAACAGCTAAAACTTGAGATAAACTTTTCATAAAGGCTCCAAAAGAATTTCCAAATGTACAGTCCAACACACACACACACAAAAAATACAGCATAGATGTTTTACAACTCTTATAGTTATACATGTAGATATGTTGATCGAAACCATGGGTGTGTTGGAGGCTATGATTGGGGGAGGATCTAGAATGTGTTGGAGGCTGTGCATGGGGGAGCATCATGAGTGTGTTGGAGGCTGTGCATGGGGGAGGATCACGAGTGTGTTGGAGGCTGTGCAGGGGGGAGGATGTGCCCTCCCTTGCGTGACAGTAGCCCGATTTCCTCCTTGAGAGCCTCTATCTCCTGTGCCTGCAGCTGCACCAGTTGAATGAGGCGTTGTCGCTCGCGCATGTCGGCACGACGGTTACCCTGGTACTCACCACCCTGGGGGGAAGGGAACACCGGTTAGCAACTGTCAACTAGCTTTGTATTAGCATGTCAGCATAACGTCTGTTTAAGGTCGTATTTGCGTATTTACGGATAACATCTAGTCTATAGTTTTCAAAGGTTGTATCAGGCAAAATTATGATGCAAACTTATGATGACCAAACATCCAACGAAAACTATGAAAAATCCTGGCAGGCAAAATTTTGAAAATTGAACCTTCTGAAATCAAAATTATGGCATTTGCTGCATTTTTGGGAGAATTTCAAAGAAAAAATCAGAGATAACTTTTTATTCAATGACAAAGTGATCAATTTTTCTAGGATTCCAGCCCCACTGGTGATACAACTCAGTCCACCTTTTAAAGAAAAATCTTTAGAACAAGCCTTGTGGGAGGTTCTTTCAAACACAGGCTATGGGCATGAATCTACAGAAGTCAGAATGCGATTAGAAGAAATACAGGAACACAGGGAAATGTGAAGTATTTATTAAAGGTAGGAACACAGAAAGACACAACGCACCAGGTTTTTCTGCCGAGCGTCGAGCGCCGTCTCCAGGTCCTTCCTCTCTCCCAGCAGCAGGTTGAGCTGATCAAGCAGCTGGGTGTTGTTTCTGGTCAGCTCCGTTATCCTGTCTCTTTCTGCCTGAACTCTCTCCTGGAAGGGGGAACATGGAGGTGAGATACAAAGGACTAATCTCCAAGCAGATCCTAGGGTGGCGAAAAGACAGTACGCAAGACGACAGTTACTCAAGTTACTAGCTCAAAACTGTCAGATGTTTCAAGTAGCGTCCACTACTTTTCGTCAGTGACTGGGCAGTGTATGCTTCCTAAAATGTCTTACGGTCTTAAAAATTTAATCCAGAGAACTTTCTTGAGTAACAGTTTTCTAGTGTATTTCATTACCTGGATGTCTAACCATGATTGACATAAAGGAGAGTGCGGTTCGTAAGTATGAAAAATGATGGTCCCACTTAGAGTTAGAGGTACCTAATAGTTTCCAATCTACATCTAAAGACAAGACGCCTACAACTTTTGTTCTCTCATGGTAGTAAAGTATCTAGTTTTGCCTACTTCATAGTGTGGTAGAAAAGTGCGAAAGTTTACAGTCTTACCCCCCACTTGGCGAGGTTTGCGGCCGACTTGAGCTCGTTCGCTCTCAGCTTCTCCTTGAGCTCCTCAATGTTGCGGTTGACGCGGAGGGACTCGAGCCGCTCCAGGTCGACGATGCGGCCGAACTTCAGCATCATCATGGTGTGGCACTTCTCCTCCAGCTCGGCGATCACAGCCTCCATCTCCTTACGGTCCTTCAGCAGCTGAACGTGCTGCTGACGGTACTCCCTGGAACACACACGACCATCGGAAATAGTTTCATCATGTTGGTAAAGCAATTACGATATATGAATTTTCCCTAACCCTAACCCTAACCCTAACAGCCTCCATCTCCTTAAGGTCTTACTCCCTGGAACACACAGGACCATCGAATATTATATTATAAAGCTTCATCGGGTTGGTCAAGCATAGGATATAGGGATTTTCCCTAACCCTAACACTAGTAAGTAACAGCCTCCATCCCTGGAACACACACAAGGGGGGTTCCAGCTTAGCCTACCATCTATAAAATCTGAAAGGTACAGGAACAGTGATATTCCATACCTGGCAAAACTCTTAAACAGTTCTTTGTCTACCATGTAATTACCCGCCACCAATTGTATACATTGTATATTCTTGTTATTTAGTTTGATTATGTTTGTAAATGTTAATGATATTTTGTGTGTTCCCTAAAACTACGTAATTCAGCTTTTTGTACAATACTTTGTATTATTAGGCTGCAATGTTGTTTTAGTTTTATATCAATTTGCAAATAAACCATCTAATAACACACAGTCAACCATTTGTTATCAGTCCTGTCTTTTGACATAGATATAGTCAGGATGGCAGACCCGTAGCATATTTAAGGCCCAAAGTTTTCCAGTGTCCTGCTGTACACTGGTTGTTACTTTGGGCCTAGTGACTGTGTGCTATATGGGTCTGCCATCCAGGTTAACATGGACATGCTAGACAACACTGTGCTTGACTATTGTCAGAGTAACTCCCCTTCCTTATTTGTCAACAACTGCTAAATATTTGATTCGGTTTTCAACTTTATTTTGCAGACAGATCCTTCAGCACATACTGCTGACGATACTCCCTGTAACACACAGGACCAACAAAAACGGTTCCATCAGGTTGGTAAAGTATAGGGTATATTTATTATTATTATTAGGGATTTTCTTTTGCACAGCCAGTATTGTCTATCAGACACCTTCCTCAGAGCTTAAGTAGTTGGTGCATCCACCAGCCAAAGTTTATTAGTCATTTTGTACATCATGCATGCCATGGCCATTTTTCTTCCGTCTTCCAGTGACACCCACAGTGGGTTTCTTTTAATTTCCGTGACACCAGCACCTCTTTCATACTTTGTACCCATGAACTCAACTTTCTCATAACTTCTCAGGAAACAGAGATTACGTTCTTGGAGCTGCTCCAACAGCAAACATCAAATCTATAACTCGACTCTTGGAGCTGCTCCAACGGCAAATCTCCAACAGTTGGAAACATTTATAGTAGTCAGAGGGTTTCTTCATAACTTAATGACAAAAGTCGGATGTAATCTTCAAATGGACTTCACAGGTTTCCGGTGTACCATCTGACCTCAGTAATGGCATTTGGATTTTTATTCATCACTTTAAGCTTATTATATACCTTTCTATACCTTTTGGGCTATTATAAGCTTTTCTCACAAAGCTCACTTTTATCTCAGCATGAAAGTTTACCATCTGAGTTGGTACTTCAACTGTATGTTCTCCAACTCAAAAAGCCAACTCAAAAAGAATTTGAATCACTTAAATTTTTTACTAAATCACTGGGTCAGAGGGCTGATAAAGAACCAAGTGATTTGGTCGAAAATTCCGGTGAGTCTAATCCTTTTGGAATGACAACTCATCCGTGCTGGTAGAATCTATAGTTGTACAGTGATTCCAACACAACAAAAGGAACTCAACAGAACTTTTCAGTCGATCTCGTCAACCTTTGTCATGTGTGTGATCCACTCGCTGACACCGGAAGTCGAAAGCGTGATGACGTCAGGAGTGAATGGAAAATACCGCGACGGTGGTAGATTCTGTCTTCTTGCCTTTTTTCCGATTCACTCCTGATGTCATCATGCTGTAATGGAATTAAGCTCAAACTCTACAACTACAATTCGTTTTGAGTTGGAGAACAGATTGTTCTTGGTTTTACTTACTCGTATCTGTTCTTCCGTACTTAGTGGAAGTTTCTACTCACTTGTATCTGTTCTTCTGTACTTAGTGGAAGTTTCTACACACTTGTATCTGTTCTTCTGTACTTAGTGGAAGTTAGTACTTACTTGTATCTGTTCTTCTGTACTTAGTGGAAGTTTCTACTCACTCGTATCTGTTCTTCTGTACTTAGTGGAAGTTTCTACTCATTCGTATCTGTTCTTCTGTACTTAGTGGAAGTTTCTACTCACTTGTATCTGTTCTTCTGTACTTAGTGGAAGTTTCTACTCACTTGTATCTGTTCTTCTGTACTTTTTCTCCTGCTGCAGCTCCTTGATCCTGTGCTGCAGGTTGCCCATGGCGGAGGCGGTGAAGACCAGGCAGGGGGACAGGTCGTTCGGCACGATGCCGTTGTACATGTGCTCCACCTGGTGCAGCCTCAGGGGAACAACAACGTCCAGCTCGTTCAGCTTCTGCTGCTTCTCAAGCTGCGGGGGAACAAATAAAATATCTGTAAAATAGTTACTGTAGCAGTATCCAGTCTTTGATTACAATGCTGCAGGGGTCTCTGACACAGGGCTGTGCAGGGAATAAAGAGTAAACACATTCAGCTCATTCAGCTTTCGCTGCTTCTCAAGCTGCCGGGAGACAGAAAGCAAAAAATGTCCAGATCAAGAGATATCAAAACCAGGAATTCCATTGTGGTACCCTAAAAAGCCACTAGGGGCCCATAATCTAATCGTTTTGAGGTCTTTTTAAGACTGACCCACCTACCAAATATCAAGGCAATTTATTTAGGCCTTCTTGAGTTATCATGTTAACAGACAGGCAGAAACACACACACACGCACACATGGACACTCACACACGCACACGCATACACACAGACACACACACACACCACACACTCACACACACACACATTACTTAAAACATAACTTTTAAACATGTAGTTCCTGGTAAGCACCTGAAGACAGTCCAAACAAAAATCCCAATTACAAAGATTGGCTTTTATTCATCCCTCCCCCCTCAGTGCTGGGGTGTGGGTAACAGTATTGGGTTACTGGATACAAGGAAACCTGCTGTGGTGGATGGCATTTATGACTAGATTTACTTCTTCCTTCGGGGGTGAACTTGAACTTTCAGCCGTAAGGTTACCTGGAAGGCCTCCAAGTGATCGAGTTTACAGTACAGTTGAACAAAATAGTAAAACGTTGAACTTTACTCCAACACACAATTATATAGAGATCAAATTTTCAGCGACCACTGTCGCCTTCATCAGGATAATTAATGACCAATCACTTCACAACGTGATCTCGCGAGAGTTACAGTTCACAAACATGTGACCTTATTCACACGAGATTTTAAAACTTGCATGAAGACAGTTGAATTTTCAATGTCAATGTTGGAAAACCGATTGTACATTCATCGCTCAGGTGTCAAATCATGGAGCTAGAAAAGGTCGATCAGCTTGAAAATTTCATGTCACTTGCAGGGGTCCACACAAAAAAGAAAGGCAAGGGTCGGCAATTTTTCTATGGTCAGTCGGCAACAGGAAAGGTCCCGTTTCACTCTATTGCAGAGCATAGAGGTGGTACCCATCTCCATTTCTGTAGCCCTTGGGCCACACAGTTGTGCAATCACTACAGCAGGGGGCTAGTCCACTGGTAGTGGTGTGTGTGTGTTTAACTCACATACTCTTTCCCAAATGCTGAGTGCTAAACAGAGAAAGCAGTATGTACCATTTTTAAAGTCTTTGGTATGACCCGGCCGGGGTTTGAACTCATAACGACCTCTTGGTTACAAAGCAAGCGCCGATTGAGCTATTGTACCAGTATTGAACAGGAAACGCAAAATTTTTTTCCTAGGTCTTACCCAAGATCTTTTTTCTGCTTAGCACTCAGCACATATGAGAAAGAGTGTGGGAAGGTCAAACACACAGCACTACCAGCGGACCAGCCCCCTGCTGTAGTGCATTGCACAATTGTGTGTCGCCCAAGGGCTGTAGTGCATTGCACAATTGTGTGTCGCCCAAGGGCTGTAGTGCATTGCACAATTGTGTATCGCCCAAGGGCTGCAGTGTATTGCACAATTCTGTACCGCCCAAGGGCTGTAGTGCATTGCACAATTGTGTGTCGCCCAAGGGCTGTAGTGCATTGCACAATTGTGTGTCGCCTAAGGGCTACGAAATGGAGATGGGCACCACCCTACGCTCCGGCAAGAGCACGGGAGACCTTCTTCTTCTTCTTACCTGGAAGGCCTCCAAGTCGCCCTCTGCCGTCTTGAGAGCCGAGTCCATGATGCGGGCCTTCTTGGTCAGCGTCTCGTATTCCTTCTTTAAGACGTCTTGGGCTTTCTTCTCCTCGGCCAGGGCCTCCTCAATGTCCAGTCTCCGCTCCCGCAGCTGACACACGTTGTCAAACATTTCCTGGGAAACACACAAGGTGTGAGTGAGTAACACTGAAACATCCAAGGGGGCCCGCAAGCCCTTTTCCGTAGAGCGTAATCGGCCGTTTTAATTCTACGTAGAGCGTAGACGGACCGCTTTAATTCAACATAGAGCGTAACCGGCGCATTTTGCGTATAGCGTATTCGCCGTTTTAATTCTACGTAATGCGTTGCGGCCACTTGGAATTTATCGTAAAGCTTAATCGAGAAGTTTCCGAATTCAGCGTAGAGCGTTGTCAGGACCCCCCCTTGCAGACCCCCATCCAATACCATGGAATCAAAGAGGACAATCTATAAACCAATTGAATGACATTTGCATCCATACTGAACTTATACAGCTGACACACGTTGTCAAACATTTCCTGGGGAAAATATTCCTCAATCAGTGATGTTTTTATACAGATAAAAACACGTACATGTACCTCCAAATTTTTTTATGTTAAAGGAGGCGGGGGAGGCCAGAATATTTGCATAAGTCTCGACCTAGTCTGACTTGTGTTCTTGTGAGACTAGGTCACTCCGTGATCAAAATGTACAGTAGACATAAAAAAATTTGGAGGTATGTGTTTTTACCTTTCTAGAAATGTCACTGATACTAGTGATAGAGGAATATTCTACCAGCTGTGACATACATGTGACGGATGAATCTCTTTAATGATAAACCTGCTTCGTAATCTCACGACATGTGTACTTACCGGGTCACAGCCAGGTGGGCAGACGCTGTCGTCCAGACCTCCCTCCTCGCTTCCCTCCTCCTCACTGCTGGACCAGTCTGACTCGTCATCAGAGTCATCACTGTCATCATCAGACCCTGCACAGGACCACACACATGTACAACGCACGTCAGAAGAAAGTTATAAGGAAAGTTATGAGCAAACATTGTAATTTGTGTACAGAAACTGTCTGCAATTCAGGGAGTTTTATCCCTGCTGTAAGGTTTGCTTTTTTGGTGTCATGAACAAATTAAGTATAAAAATTAAGCAAAAAAAGGATTATTGCATAACGATGGAGGTGAACAATATATATGTTTCATTGATCCATATGTCATGTGGTGTCATGGTGCAAACTAATCTAACTCATGAAGAAAAGAAAAATGTGTAACATCCGTGTCCATAATATCACCAGGGTCCATAATATCGCCACCTTGAGAAAAAGTGTGCTTAAAGATATTTTTACTGCAACATACCCTAGGTATGTACATTTGATGTGTGAAGGAGTGCATACCAAAAGTATGTTGCAGTAAAAATATCTTTAAGCACACTTTTTCTCAAGGTGGCGATATTATGGACCCTGGTGATATTATGGACACGGATGTTACATCACTGTGGATAAATACTTAAGTTTGAACATGTACATGTAGATGGATACTAGTTCACATTTGCTAGTCTAGGTAGTCTAGGGTTAGTCACTCTGACAGAAAAGATGCACAACTTTCAGAGAAGTGCACCTACCCTCTTCTGACTCTGCCTTCTTTTTCGCTCTCTTGATTTTCTTCTTGAACACCTTCGTCAGGAAGTCTGCAAACTTGTTGTTGTCTCCGAGAGACGCCTGGAAGGTGGACAGCAGGACTCTCTCCTTGTCCAGGAGTTTGTCGATGTCCTTCTTCTTCGCCTCCAGTTTGGCCTGGCATTCCGTCACCTGCCGAACAAAAACATGGCTTCATCAATCTTAAATTTTTTCCTTATTATAAGTCAGACTCCTTTCACTGTTTCTACATGTGGTAAAATCAGCAGCTGGCTATACTACACCAACACCTTAACCTTAAAACTTTTGATCCAACACAAAGTAGTTCTCTCACCCAGGGCTTTAGCCAGCTCGAAATTTTTTACCGTCAACCCCAGGTCAACCCAATTCGCGAAAAAAAATACCGTCAACGCGAAAAAAAAAAATTCCGTCAATGATTACTTTTAAAGAATGTCTTTCACGATCCGGTGATCGACATCACGCCCTCCCGCACACTTAATGCATTCGGTGTTCTAAATACCCGTCAAGATTGCAGAATAAAAAAAAAACTACACAATCTGCAATTTTGCAGAATGAAAAAAAACTACAGTTCTCACAAGGAGACAACACGCAATGAATAATCCGCTATTCCCTTTGTTTTGATCCGCTCAAATCCCGCCGCGATTCAAGCCGCGGCCATGCAAATGAACCTACTCATGACGTCACAGCCTCCGATTTCCACCGAGCCGGCCCCGAGCGCTGACCGACAGCGGGCGATGTGGCTCAGATCTCCGACGATTTCCTTATTTAGAGCGTTCGGAAGACTTCGGGTAGCAAACAAAATGGCCGACATGTACATGATTTTACTTGTCAGCTTCGCTTCTCAACCGAAATGAGGAAGTTACAACTCCTTTGCGGGCTTTAGCGGCCATGAAGTTGACTTGGGGAAGCGCTGAGACGTGATTTCGCTACGACAAAGGGGATTTTGCCGCGGAGGGAGTTACGTGGCCGGCAAAAACTCGCGTGTCAGCGATCCTCCAGAAATCTTTATGCTGCCGCTCGAAAGTCTTCGCGCGAAGGAGGTCTGACGAAGTTTTAGATTAAATAAGGCCACATTGTGTGGATCAATCTCCGATTCTTGCGATAGTATGATTATTCAAGTACAGTATATTATTCAAAAACGTTTGATATTTCTTTGTTCGTTGTCACATGTTTATTTATCGTATTGTCATGTACAGTTAGCAGCGTGTGTCTGAGTCGAGCCATTGTTTTATTTTATTCTTATGTGGCCGTTAGCACATGTTGTTTTAACCGACAGCAACATTGAACAATACAGCCAAGTCAACAGACGTCGGCACGGTCCTTGAAATCAGGTTTCCCGCCGCCGCGCGTTTGGAAAAGACGCCGCGCCGTGGCTCATTCAAATTCGCTAGATTTTTTCCATGTCTTTACCCACGATTTTTGACCGTCAATGTTGACGGTAAGGACTAAAATTTTTACCGTCAGACGGGACAAATTACCGTCAATTGACGGTAAAACGGTCGCTGGCTAAAGCCCTGCTCTCACCTAGAGCTTCAAACCAGTCACTCTGGTCTTCCTCAGTAGACTGACCCAGTGAGACATCATCTACCAGATACCTTTGACCCAGTGTTGACGTCACACTTCAAAGAAGACACGTGACAAGCTTCACTGGGTCAGTCTACTGAGGAAGACCAGAGTGACTGGTCGAAAGCTCTAGGTGAGAGAACTTTATTGTGTTGGACAAAAGGTTTTAAACTTTATACATGTAACAACCAACACAGAATCTGATGAACTTTCATGTACAACTCACCTTGACCTCCATGTCGGCCCTCTCCTGCTTCTTGTTGTTGACCTTGTCAGCAAGGACGTTCTCTCTCTTCTCGAACTCCTTGAGGAGTACGAGCTCTTCGAACAACGTCACATGCCGCAGGTCCGCCATCTTCTGCTCCACCTTAAGAAATTATTAAGAAAGTTGTTTATTATTTTCAAAAAGTTGCTATCCTTTTCCAATATAGTAGAGCTACAGCATCTCAATGACAGTACTTTACGTTCTTTACTGCTACGAGGACCAACATCACTTTAACATTCACAAAACTGCTCCACCTTAATATATTAAGTATGAAGATATCTTTAACAAACGCCCCTGCAGTTCCAGAACAAGCAACTAGGGGTCTTGCAACTTGGTTTACATCACCTCTTTCCCAGCACAAGAGCTACTTACCATCCAAATTCCACTACCCTAGCTTGTCTAGATCATGAGATATCAAAACTGGAAGTTCCGCTGCAGTACCATAACGAGCCGCCAGGGGGGGGGGCAAAATCTAATCATTTTCAGGTCTCATCAAGACCTACCCACCTACCAAATATCAAGACAACCCATCAAGGCCTTTTTGAGTTATCTTATTTACAGACAGACAGACACACACACACACACACACAAATGAAAACATAACCTTCTTGACGAAGGTAATAAAATAAACAATAAACAAATACCTGCAGCTGGAGTTTCTCGTGGCAGAGCAGCTGCAACTTGGCGTCGAACCGGCTCAGGAGGTCGGCAACCTCCTCCAGATGGGTGTCTCTTTTGTACAGCAGTCTGCAGGGAACATCAACTGTTAGACTGGGACTCAAACCCACAACCCTAGCTATGATCCAGCGTGAACATGTCAGAATCAGTAACATGTAACATTAGCAGGAAAATCCAGCAACTGCTAGACTGGGATTCAAATTCGTGACCCTATGATCCAGCCTGCAGGTCTGAAACATTGTAGGATCAGTAACATGTGCTGATCTTTACATCCCTTGAATCATCACCAAAGTCAAGCCAAGATGACCGATAGCAGGGCCCCACTGCAAAGCAGTGTTTAATCGCTTAGAAAATCTGCTAGATTGGGATTCAAACCCATGACCCAGTGATCCAGGTGCCAGATTACATCCCACTAGAATACACATACAACCACCTGTATCTGGTAGATAATGTCAGGGCCCATCACCCTTCACTCAACCACGACAGGGCTGACATCATCTCCCAGATACAAGCTTCACTGGGTCAGTCTACTGAGGAAGGCCAGAGTCACTGGTCGAAAGCTCTGGGTGAGAGAACTTTGTTGTGTTGGATGAAAAGTTTTAACTTTAAACATATTTCCTGACCTGATCTCCTCAGCATTTCGCAGCTGTACCTCCAGCGGTGTCAGGTCCTCCTGGCCGGCCTGCCACTGACTCTCCTGCGCTGCTGCAGTCGTCGGGGAAACGGTGGCCTGTTTGTTTGCGTCCGACTCTGGAGGGGGAGAGGCTTGTGGGGCCGCCTCGGCCTGGGGAGAGAGATAACACATAATGCTATTTTTATAAAAAAAAATACAGAAGCTTGTGATTAAGGGCTTGCATGCACTTTTTCGTAAGGCATAATCAGGCTGTTTTAGTCTCAGGAATCCGTAGCCAAAAGGCTAAAATCAACATAATTCATAATAGCCATAACAAATAATTGCTTGTAATCAGCTCTGAGAAGTTTGTCATTCGTAATCGCCGGCAAAAATTTTGCATAATCCGTAATCACTACAGCCCCATGCAGGCCCTCTTGATTTTAACACTATATCAAAGACTTATGCTGGCCCTTGTACTTAGGATGTTAAGTTTTATTCTATATGGCTTTTTTGTACTATGTTGAATAGTTTTATTCTATACTGCTTTTTTGTAAATTCTATTTATTTCAGGTTTGGCTTTTTGACCCTCACAGCTAAGACAGCCCAACTAACCAGTGGCTTACAAAGGCAGTGAGCAGCAAAGAGACCAACCTGTTTCTCCGGAGCCTTTCCTCCCCCACCGAACCCCCCAAATCCCCCAAACCCGCCGCTGCTGTCTGTGCCCTTCAGAGCAGCCGCCTCTCGGGCTGCCAGGTCTTTCTTAAACTTCAGCAGAGACGCACGGTCATACTCCATTTGTCTGGTGGGGGAAAGAACACAAAGGTTTACATCATCTGCTGGAAGTACTAGTTGCAGTTTTTTGAAAAATCAACTTGTATGACAAAACAAACGCACACATACACACAAGCAGTCACACATACCCACACACACGCTCACACACATGCACACACACACACAAGCACACACACACACTTTCATTAATTCACACGCATGCATGTACACACACACAGTCACACACGCGCACATGCACACACACACAGTCACACACACACACACACACACACAGAGTCACACACACACAGTCACACACACACGCACACACACGCACGCACACACACACACACACAGTCACACACACGCACACGCATACACACAGTCACACACACACACACGCATACACACAGTCACACACACACAGTCACACACACGCACACACACACACAAA